TAACTCTGAATCATGAGGCCTATGTTAACAAAATGTCTTTAACTCCGTGACAAATTGAACTAACCTGAGAAGAAGCCTTCAAAGGTGAAAAGCTCTTGTGAAATTCCTTCAGGAGCCAGGTACTCAGATACCAAAAGTACTTCAGCGGCTTCTGGCATTTGGTTTTGGACAGCTTCGAATGAAATCTCCCATGTGGTCAACACGGTATCATCCTTTTCATCCCAGGCTGCCTTCCTAGCCTTTCGACTGAGAATCTCTTTCGGGTATCTGTGGTAGAGATCAAGGTATGCTGCAAACGGCATCTCTGAAGGATTCATAGCTATGTGAGCTCCTGCTTGTGATATAGCTAGCGGGAGATACGCAAGTCGTTGAATGATGGCCTGCGCATTTCTCCATTCTAAAGGAACGTGTGCAAAACTAGACTGACTGGCCGTCAGATATCTTCAGAAAATGTAGGTACCTACCATCTGTCCCGATTTCGGGCCCTTGTGGAATGCCTGTTGTTAAAAGCGTGAAAGCTTCGTCCTGTTCCATTAAAGGAACTTGGATTGAATTCCTGGTTATTGCTAAATCTGATCTTCGACTGGTAATCAGAACGGAGCCTTTGGCTTTAGGCGGCAGAATTTCCTTCAAATCGATAGTCTTCGGGTCGTCAAGGTTGTCAATGATCGATAACCAAGAGTCATTTTCCTCGTGTCCTAGCCACATAGATAAAGCTCTGCTTATATGTCCAGACTGGATTGTTTCCTCCAAGAATTGGAAACGAGGGTTTTCTCTCAGGCCATTAATCCTATAGTGACCCAGTATATGATTTCCACACTCTGTAATGCTGGTCTTCACTGTGTCGGGTCGACGCGCGTCTATCCAAAAGATTGATCCGTAAACCTTTTCTTTCAGGCGAGAATATTCGAGTGCGAGCTGTGTCTTACCTATGCCCCCAGTACCGTATAGAACAGCCTCCTTCCGCTCCATTCGATGGGAGCCAGGCCTGAGGATGTCGTCTATGAGCTGTAACGTGCGGTTCCTACCAGTGAAATGCTGATTCCAGACAGTTTTGAAAGTTACACCAAGGCGAAATTCTTCAGGCACACGTTCTACTCTGGCTTCAAGCCTTTTGTCTTCAGCCCTGTCTGGGGCCTGGAATGTTGCTATATGTCTGTCAATTATCTCAATCGCAAGACAACGGATTATGAACCCGTACTTTTCTTGATGAACCATCTCTCCCAATTTTTCTTAACAACTTGAGTAGCACTTCTCGAGTAGAACTCCAATCTTTTGGAAACTTTCTCGAAGTTTGCGTCTCCTGCACTGCTGAACTTCACCATGGTCGAGTGGTCAGCGACCATCGGGACGGATTCGGTATCAACTGCCCCAGGCACCACCGCTGACGCTTTGGGCACGACCTTTATCGAATACTGTCAGAATGTCCCTCACCAATGGTTGTATGGATGGTGTCAATTGAACTTACAATCGTACTTCCAAATGGGATAGGCATTGCGAGCGTTTCATAGAAGAAAACTGTCTTGAAGCTTTTGCTGATGGAGTTGTATCGTTCCTGGAGCTCTTCAACCCACTCACCATCCGACTCCATCTGATGCAGTGGTTTGATATTGGTGTGTGAAAAGATGGAGAGTATTGTTGTTAGTACTTTAGCAAGTCTAGCGCCTTCAGAACCGCGGTGAGGCGTTCCCAGGAACATGACAGCATAAGTCGATAGCTCGATTGACTTCTGCTCCTCTAGGTGATCTATATCAGCCATGTACGAGTTAAGTAGAGCCTCCAACGAGTCAGCTTCCTGAATCATTTTATCTTTCAGTAACGAGGAACCTCTTACAGTCTTAATGACCAAGCCGCCTAGACTATGCCCCACGAACATTATGGGTCGTTGCTCGGTCTACAGTCGTGATATCAGCCCGAGACTCAAGGTGATATCATGATACTCCACGACACCCAGAACATCAGATAACCAGATTGATATTTGAACTTACACTAGTGAGTCCTCGCTCGATTGTCAGATCGCTGACCAGTGCGCGTCCATGATCCGATATGCCCAATGTCAATTCGTGATCGCTTCCTCTCGTTCTTGAGTCATAGCTGTAAGAGTAGATTCGAGCCTCGGGAACTCGTTGAGGAAGCAGATCCTGCAACCAATAGGTTCCATTTTCAGCCGTCCAAGATCCTCTCCAATCACCATCCAGACCGTGGACAGCGACGATACTGGTTCACAAGTTCAACCGATTAGTAACAGCACACCTAACCGCTGAAGAATCAAGCCTACTCGATCTAAGCTCCTTGTGAATCAGCCAAAAGATTAAGCCCTAGTGCTCCAGAGGAGGAATTCCGTATAATGTTCAATGCGGCGATGCAGTTCCCGCAAAGCAGGAATATTGCCTGCAAAAGAGCCGGCAAGTCAGTTGACGCAACCTCAGCGGATTGAAAGGTCCAATGAGCTCACAAGCGGCCTCATTTTCAAGGCATGCTCAAAATTGAACAAGATGGGATATTTTGATGCTGCTGCCATTCAACACAGCTTGCGATAATGAGGCTTCACGTCGTGCAACAATTAGTGAGTCCGATCCCATGAGCTTGCGGCACTAGAGTAAGGGAAAAGTACATTTGCATTGCCAAAAAGACGCCGTCTGCCTTGATGGGATTCATCCATGATATATGACGTGTGACTGCGGCATGGAGGCCAATTAGGACGCAAGGTGGTGGTCATCGCTGCATAACCGGGCTGACAAGTTAGTGGGTTGCTCCTGCGTGTCACAGGCTGCGTGACAGATGACGGGAACGCGAAACAAAAGACAACCCCAGGTCATTGGCTGGTTCGCATTGCCTTACCCGTGACTGTAGGACTTCTTCAAGGGCTTTTAGGCAGAAAGAATCTCGTCTATGAAGGCGACGACAGAAAATCTGACCTAATCAACTTTAACTGCATTAATTCTGCGACCAATCTCTCTACACCACAGCATCTAGTCGTCGCCGTCGCGAGGAATTATTCTTGACTCAAAAGAACGATTATCGTCGAAGCTTTGCTTATTCAAACGAATTCAAGATGGCATCGAGGCCACCAAGCGCCGAGCGAGGTCCTACGGTACCAAGCACCCCAAGCACAACATTGCCAACTCCAGATCCGCCTAAAGCTGGCAAAGATTGCAGAGAGTCTGCTCAATACTATCCCAACGATCATGTGGTTGAAAATTCCGTCAAGGATTATAAAGTATTCATTACAATCATGCTGACCATTTCCATCTTTGGCGCGTCTACGTTCGCCGTAATTGCCGGCCAAATGGAAGACCCTGTAGAGCTTTGGAAGCCAAGACAGCCACCATTCACCTTGCCTACAGTCAGAAGATTTCTCGCGGTAGGATGGCTTTGTTTTATTCTCACGATAGCCATCGCGGGCTATAGCTCGAGTCTGCTCACCATTTTACGCCAACAAGCTCAAGAGGCCGAAGATAAGTCCTGGCATCGAAACTGGGATAAGATCGGAATACTAGCGTCAGCAATGATGCACTTATTTATTGTGCTGGCGTTCTTGTTCCTGTCATTGGGTCTCGTTGCATACGTGGGGGCACTGGGATGGGTTGGGGTTGGGTTTTCCAGCCTTGCTGGCGCTTTCGTGATCGGGCTATCCATCTTTCAATGTCGGTAAGTTTCGCCATGGGACTACACACAAGTTGGACCTGATAACTTACCATCAAAGGAGCCACCATCGGCATAGGAAGTCTCATTGAATATATCAGCTCGTCGGCTGAGACCATGGTGTGTACGAGTGACTCAGAGCAGACTCATTAGTCATTTGGACGCGGTAAAAGGACAAGACACCTGGATTTTGTTTGTCATCTTTTCTATTCGCATACAGAAGCCATCGCTCAATACCAAATGGTAGAGTTCTGGGTTTTCTGACACGTCCGCCAGTGGATAGATCTCCGCTCAGGATGTGATGCTCGATTTCACGCCCGTTAAACGGTGACAACTCGAGAGAGGAGCTTCGATGCGGGAGAGAAGACAACAGCACACAAGAAAAGCGCCTCCTCAAGGTTGACCAGTAGCCTCAGGCGTTGAGTGTGTATTCGTTACCAGAACACATCGACTTCTTCCGACTCGGGCTGGGTAGAGTGGCTGTTCTGTTGGGCGTCGTCAGTTCTCGTCTGTTGACTACAGAAGAAATGTGCAGTGCGCGTTTTATGTCGACAGATACCTTGCACGGCACGAGCGCTCATTGCACAAGCATCAACGACATGCGAGATTTTTAAGAAACTTAGCGCGTGCTGCGGACTCAGTACATACCTGCCAATCATTCACACAATCGGGAGGGATTGAAATGCTGCCCGCGTTAGAGGAAAAGCGTTAAGCGAGACGTTCATCTTCACGTCGATTGAGCAGCTGTAGTTCAGCTCCACGGAGTGAGCCATGGGAAGGGTTCGAGTTCTCCGGGAATGCTGTCCAGGGAAGCTCAGTATCGGACCGTCAAGCAATCCCGGCCGGCTTCGGCGATTCGGGCAGTTTCAGGCCCCCGTCCCCGCCCCCGCTCATCGCCGGATGCTGGCGTCCGTGGACATCACGCCGGAACCCAGCTCAACATCCCTTATCAAAGTCCTTGGAAACTCAATTGAAAGTGTCATATGTCAAAGCTTAGCTAGGTATTTATGAAAACACCATTTTAAGACTATCCGAAACCTTGAGCTTGCTTCTACTTCTGGTCTGCAGAACATGCCGAAACTCATACCAGGTGCTCACGTGATGCAGTCGATGGTGAAATCACATCTTAGGATGGCGACAGATGGCGAATTGCACCCGACCAACCCAGTCCCCCCCCTAAACCATCTGATAGATGACAAATGCGTATGATGCCACTCGGCGAGATATCGTGTTTGATGGGGGAATGTTTCTCTATTTAATTCACTTGCATGTATTGTACATCTCAGGTCTGAGCTTCTGAAGTATAGAACTCGTACTTGTCACAGCTTTTTGGTCTGAGCTTTTATGAAATTGAAATGGGCGGCGAAAGGAAAATCAAGTCTGTGGCCATCATTGGCGCCGGCGCTGCGGGTAAGCCAAGCCCAATATTATACGGCAGAAGCCATGCCACGACACGATCGTCTGTACACTTGGCTTGATGACTACGGTTGCGGTAGAGCTGACTCGCATTTCGTGTGAATAGGTGCTGTCACAGCTGCTGCTTTCAAGGCGGAAGATTATTTTGAGAAGATTCGGGTGTACGAGCGAAGAGAATCTGCTGGTGGAACATGGTACGGTTCTTTCATTGGCGCTGCTATCTGTGCAAAGACTAACTGAACCTATAAAGGATATACGATCCGAACCCAGCCGAGCTCCCTCCGCTTCAGCCGGGATTACTGCCTCCGGAACTGGACCCGGCGTTGGAGATCCCGGCCGAGCTTCCGCAAGTGAAGCCGCATAGCACCTCTCAGGAGAGGTACACGCAAACGCCGATTTACCACTCCCTAACGTGAGCATTCCCACTTTCCAGCTTGAGGAAAGCTCCACGCTCTAATCATCTGCTGACATGTTGATCAGTACCAATGTCCCAGACATCGCAATGTCTTTTTCCGACTCGAGATTCGCTTACGGACCTTTCGCACCCCACTGGATCCCACGACAGTACATCGAAAACTACTTCTCGCAGCACAAGACGGATGATATTCTGGTACTCAATACGACCGTTGAAGATGTCACGAGAATTGATGCCGTTGATCGGCCTGAGCAGTGGCGATTGACGTTGCGAAGATTTGACCCCGCAAGAAACGTCGATGTGTGGTGGCAGGAAACTTTCGATGCTGTCGTTTTTGCGAACGGGCACTACTCTGTTCCCTACGTATGTTCAACCTCATATCCAACGATACTATAGACTGACGTGGCATAGGTCCCCCAAGTGAAGGGTCTAGAGGAGTACATCAAGAAATTTCCAGGCCGTGTTGTTCACTCGAAGACATATCGTTCACCGCAACCCTACGCCGGCAAGAAGATTGTTGTGATCGGCAACTCAGCATCGGGCCATGATGTTACGGCTGAGCTTGTGGGGACGGCCGCCGAACCTGTGATCCAGTCTCGTCGGAGTAAGTCTCGCTGGGATGGTGATGAGCCACCGCCTGGCCAGGCTTGGAAGCCCGTCATCAGAGAGTTTCAACCCGACGGACGGATCGTATTCGAAGACGACACCTACTTGGACGATGTAGATCACGTTATCTACTGTACGGGCTATAAGGCTTCGTATCCGTTCTGGAACAGCAAGGAAAACAACAATCGGCCGCTGTACGATTACAAGAAAGGAAAGCTGGTCAAGATCTTCTGGCACACGTTTTTCCAGGATTTCCAAACTTTGGGCATTGTCGGCATGCCCCGCGTTCTCACTTTCAGAAGTTTCGAATATCAAGCCATCGCCCTGGCAAGACTATTTTCTGGGAGGAACTCTGTCGCACTACCGCCTCTCGAGGAGCAAGAACGCTGGGAAAGAGAAAGAGAAGAGACAGTCCGAAGGGAGGGCAGAAAGTTTCACGACATCCCATGGGAGACAGGCGAGACCTTCGAGTGGCTCACGGGTCTGTACAGGGTGGCGGGTCTCCCAACGCTCAGGAGTAAAGGACGGGTGCCGCCTGTGCTTTCCGAAGATCTGATATGGGCTTTGGAACACTTGAAGAAGTACCCTGAGCCGGGTAACGGAGACGATGAGAAGTCGGGCGATCCGAAGAACAAGGGTGCACCGAAGGAAGTTGACGCATATCACCATGAGCGTCTCGATGGAGAGGCCAGAGGCCAGTGGTCGCTACCGACGCGTCCCAAGAAGGATTTACTGAGCTTTATATAAATATCCTGGAACTGGAATAGGCTGAAGGCAGAGCGAGAGAAGAGCAAGACCACATAAGCCTCCCTTCATCGATGATTGAAGATAGATTGTTCTACTTGTTGACCCACTTCCAATCGTGCAGCTTCTTGGCCCTTGAATTATAACAACTCTTGTCCTCGCACCACGTGGAGTGCCGCATTTCCTCATCTTGTGTGTAAGTACTAGGATCAATGCCCAGAATCCATCCGAAGCTCTCTTCAGTCAGGCCAGAGTGCGCGGCTGCAAACTTGAAGTCTGTACTAATGTCCCAAGACCCCAATAAAACGACTACGTCGTTTTCTTCTAGTCTCCATAGATACTTGAAACTGCAACGGCCGCGAAATATTGAGTGGTGATGGACTTGTTGGTGTTGCCAGCCATCGTGTACCATGAATCTGCCGATCAAATTTGGATTGTCTTTTGCGCGACAAGCGCAGCAAAAACGTCGGGCATAATCCGATTGAGGTCCGCTTGGTGAATGCCAATGACATTTGTTATCCATGACCGCCGGGTCTCTAAAACATGCACACCGATTTATGTTGAATGGCAACATAAAGACATCTTCGTCGATGAAGCGTAGGTGTGGGCAACACAAATCCCCGTGGTCTCGTTGTAGCCTCTTCAGACCTTGTCGAAGAAGGTCTTTGGTCACGACTTGAGTCGGCTGGAGTTGGCAGACTACAAGCTTCCACTCCAAGGTTGTATTCATGGTCGTCCGTTTAGCTGGAAATGCGGGCGTTGTATTTGTCGCAGTCGCGGCACTCCTGTTGACAGCTATCGGACTGGGTTGGTACGAGTATGGCCGCTTGATTAACCTGGGTCCCGTGCCGGGCCATCCAATGCTCTCGGAGCACTCCACACATTGAAAGAGGACAGGTTCTGTATCGCCCCTCGTAGCCATTTGCAAGGAGATCAGCGAAGACCATGACATATCGTGGTGGGAGCAGATTCGAACACTGCCCTCCCAGCCGATGCAAACTCTGCGGCCCTTTTGATATCGATTCATAGAGAACCAGCTCTCATTGTGCGTGGCATCGCAATAATGGCAAAAGAGCAAGCTGGCTGCAGACGCTTCTGGGCCACGTGAACATTGCTTTTCGGTAGACCAGTCCACGCGCTTCCAGCATTCCTGGCATAGGTCCTTGCGCAGGCGATGCCTGTGGCGCAAACTTTTCAATTTCTTTTTGCCGTCATCTTGGAGACGGAAAGTCTTGAAGGCTCGAACCTGCCGCCGTACTTGAAGGTCAAATATTGACCTGAACAGTCGTTGTATCCCTGAAGGCTTCCATTGTGGCGTTTGCTTTTCTTCTGCTGTTTCATAGTTCTCAGCAAATGCGCCTCTCAGAGATAGTTGGAAAATCAGACTGCATGCTTGTCGGAAAAGGAAAAGCTCTTCAGGCTTGAGGTGAAGCATGATTTCGATAAGGAGTTCTCGGGGCATCCAGTGAATGGTGGAGTTGAGCTGGTTTTTGTTTCTGCGATCCTCCCAGCCCGTTGTATACGTGTAAGCTGTAGCATGGCTGTCAAAAGTGCAGACATCTTTGCGATATTTGATGCACCGTTTCTCGGGATACGCCGTCTTTTCTTGCAAGGACATTGTGGCCAGCGGTTTCTGTGAGCTGATTCTGATGCATGTTGGTATCTGATGCGTGGAGAAGTGCCAAATAGGAGCAAGGCAATGGTTTTCACTTTGAAGCAACCTTTATAAGCAGTCGAGTTTTCAATGATCCACATGAAACCTAGTTGAAGTGCCAGCCAGAAAGGTTGTGGGCACTAACAAAAAGGGGAGCCTCGCCCTTTGGTTTGCAGTACCAGATACGGTGTCAGAGTAGAATCACAGCCGCGAAAGACACGAAGGATATTTGAGACGATGCTCCGTGCCATGCTGAAGTATGTTCCAGGAATGCAGTTCTTTGGGTCGCCAAGATATGAAGTTCATTTGATGTTGTATTCATCCGAAAGAAAAGGAAATTGGTATATGGAAACATGAAAGAGTCTAAAGAACCATGAAAACCGTGCCTGCAACAACACTACCCGTTACTAGAATAGTCAAAATAGCCGCTCCGGCCTTGTCTGCAGTAGTAATCGCCGACGGGGCCTTCGTCCCTGAGCCGTCACTCTTTCCTCCAGTGACATCGCCCGAAGAGTTTCCTCCCGTGTTGGCGGTGACGGGCGCATCTGCCGACGAAACGAGGTTGTACATGATGATCTGCAGCGAGTTCATCTGGGGACCGACACCAACCAAGCCATCGAAGGTGTTGTTCAGCCAGGAGAAGCCACAGGCCGTACCCGCATGACCCTTAAAGCCCGAAGCCGGAGATCCTGAACATGCCGTAGCTGCCGCCTGTGCACTTGACAGCAGCAGAGGTTGAATGGTGTCGGTAGTGTATGAAGCCACCTGCATCGTGGCGGCCATCCATCTGCTCAAATATCCCTTGAAACTCTGAGCATCTTGACTACACTGCGCCGTCGGTTCGCAATACGCTTCGTAGAGAATGTTGTTCTGGACGAACGCGGTCGTGATGTCGGTGAGCATCTCGTCAACGCGCGTCTTCCACGTGTCGCTTTCCGTGATGTTGTACATGACGGCCGCGCCGTACAGGAAGATGCCGGCGTTGTAGGACCATTTTGTGCTGTCGGTAGAGCTGGGACATGATCCCTCGAAATGAACACCGTCAAGAATCTCGTGGTTGCTCGTGATCAAGCCGACGCTGGTTTCCCAGTCCCAGACCTTCTCGGCCCAATCGGAATAGGTGGTATTGCCGGTGTAGCGAGCCAAACGGGCGGCCACGTTGAAGAAGCATCCGTTCGAAATCGAGTTCTTGTAATCGTATCCGGCGTTCCACGTGAAAATCTGCCATCGCACGCCACCGCCGCAGTTTCCTGTGTCCCATCGACTAACGTATTCGTTGAAGACTGCTTGTACTAGTGCAAGCCATTGTGGTTCGCCGTCCGGGGGATTCGGGTACTTGTGTTCCGCTGCTGACATGGCAGCCATCGCCCAGAAGCCCTGATCGTCGTTTCCTTCCGTCAAAGTCTGGTTTTGGGGCATATAATCATTATCGTCACCGACTTGATGCAGCAAAGCTTGTGTCGTGATCGTGTTGTAGGAGTCGTCGCCTGTGAGCCACCAATAATCAACCAGCGTGCCAAACATGGCACCAGCCTCCCACCCTAGAACGCATTGAAATCAGCTTTGAGATCATCCCAACAGTCGTGAGTTCTCACAGTAGTAAGGATCTGGCAGGTTTCCTGGTGTGTCGCCAGTGTTGTTTCCTGTGTAATATTTCACCAATCCATATGCAATTGTGCCCGCAGCGCTCTTAATCGACTCTGCAGGGAGTTAGCCACCACCTCTTCGCAGCAGTTTTTCCATGATGAACTCACCATTGTCCGTGAATGTGACGTCGATAGCATTTACCGCTGTCGCCAGACCCAGACCCGCCGTCAATGCCGATAATGTTGTCGGCTTCATGTTGACTGTGTTGGCTGGCTTGTGCCCAGAATGCCAAGGCGAAAACTAAAGTGAGTTCGGTTGAGCAAAGGCTTGAATCGATGTCGCGATCGCTTGGTACCTTGGCATCGACGACGACTGGGCTCAAAAAAGGCCGCCAGGACCGCCAAGATGGGCAGAAGGGTCGCTCGAGTTAAAAGGGAGCTTCAAGGGGCTGTGCAAACGCGGGTCCAATTTCGACCTCTCCACCGCTGACGTTTGCAACCCACAACTTCAACATGCAACTGGATGACAAACAATGAATATCGGATCCAACTTTTTCAAAACAAGCCGAGCATATTTTTCACTCCTGTCTGAAATTTGCATCTTCAATCCTGAGGGCAGATCTCAAGTTCCGGAGCCGCCCAATGGCATCCCAGCGTGCCAGCCTTATGTGCCTGCTGCGGACTTTGTTCAGGTTTATGGCGCAACAATGCAAGTGGATTTGCCCGTGGGTTCCCTCCATATCGTGAATCCACTGCCTGGTTACCGCCCAACACCAAGTGGAAAGATGTTCTCCAGAAGTTATGCACCAAGTATCCGTATCACTCGGCAACTAGATCCGTCGCCTTTCCCCGGATTGGAATGATGATCAAACGTGCGGACGAAGCTGCGAACTCGTGGATTTGTGACTGCAGATTACGTGCGCCTTTTGAAGGGCCGCGAGGCACAAGACAGAAAACTTCCGGTCCGCTCGGACTTAGCGTCGTTGGCCCCCTGGGTGGTGGGGTGATCTTCCTTGCGATGACGATTCGGCCCCATTCCATCGCCCAGAATTAGATCGTTAGTGGCAGAAGCTGTGGACTAGTTGTGGGGAAACGGTTGACTGACGCGTCTCAGGCTCTCCCAGCACGCGATGCGATGGATAGGGGTAGGCGGCTATCTTCCGGAACAAGTTCCAGCCCCTGCCGTTTTCCCTGGACATTTCGACGAGTTTTCAGCCGGGCGGTGCATGTTGGCTCGCCGGAACATGTCCTGGTTGTCTTCGAAGTCGTGTGTTTTCTTGATTGGCTCTCTGTTTGGCTGTAGGAAAGCTGTTGTTCTATTGGCTGAAAAAGGTGGATTCTACCAAATTGAGTACAAGATCCAACACACAATAAATGGAACCGGACATTGCGGAGGACCCAAAGGATTGGGGGTAGTCGAGAGATTCATATCTTATTGGTCTTTCTTTGAGGTTCGTGTCCAGAACTTCCCGCAGTTTAGCCGTTTCCCATCTTTCCTTGGGAGAATTGCACCTACGCTACAGAGTATCACAGACAAGGTATTAGAAGGGCAGTGGGGTCCCGGATTTCAATCTCCCTCCGAAACCTTGTTCCCGAGAGCCGCAGAGAATTCGATGATGGCCATGCAGGCTTGGAAGTCTTGAATTTAACAAAATGCCGAGCCTACGTGTGCTATTTCTGTCTGTGATGTATGATCCTAGCAATAATAAAAGACACTCGTCTCAAGCAACTTAGCCCCCATCATGAGCGCCCCCTTCACAAGGCTGTCCATCGACCTCCTTTTCCATGTTTGGGGGTGTGATGAGACCAGAATTCGACATCAGGCAGCGGATTGATTTGTTCACAGCCACCTTCATAAAAGCGGATCAGCACGAAGGATTGGAACGCTGCAGCGCACCAGCTCATCAGGGGTTGCGACTTTCTTTTGCAAACCCTAGACTTGATGTCTCGAATAGGAAAAGGTTTTTGTGGCCCGACAGGATACCTGCATATCCTCCAGAACCTTTTTCTCGTATTCACGACCCGATAATAAATGAGATTTGGAGGCTGCGAATGGCGGAATACAACATTTTGCTTGCTATATGGTCGATCTTTGGCATATACCGTCAAGACTATTCCATTTACAGTCACAACTTGTCAGCATTGCATTCCCTCGAGAGCCAGAAGGATCTCATGTTTGACCAATGTATTAGTGGACAGCGTTAAGACGCAAATGATGAAATGAAATCAATTGAGGGAGAATCGAGCTTAACAGAGACTTATCGGCATTGGTATCAAGTGGCCACTCAGTTGGTCGACAAGCCGTAACCCCAAGTCGAGACTGCTCTTTGGTTCTGGTAATCCGGTGCACCCTTTCCTTCCACAATGCGTACATCTTCAACGCTGACTATGTCAAGCTCGGCCAGTCGTGTGGCTACGTGATGCAGTGTGGGTAGCTCATCAAAACCGAGGGCCTCAAAATGGATCTTCGCGTCCTTCGCCTTGAACATGCGCTCCAGCTTGAAGCATTCAGGAGACGGAGCCGGGGAGACCGTGGCGTATTCGACATCAGCAACACCCGGACGGCCGGTGCGAGGGATGTACTTGAAGCAAAGAACATCCTGGCCGGGTCTTGCGGGCTCAGGAGGCGCCACCTCCAGCTTCAGGCCGGAGATCTTGACCTCTCCAAATTGATTGCCTTCCCAGCCCATCGAAAGGCTCCAGTCTCCTGACGCTTCAACGTTGTCCTCCTGATCCAGTGTCGCGAAGAGCTTCGGGTAGCCCAGCTCCTCTCTGCCGCTAAGGATGGGGTCCGGGAGGTTCTCAAACAGGACGCTGAGATATTTGCCCTGAACAGTCTCGGTCTTGCCCTGGCAGATGACGTTGTGAATGTAAAGGCCCGAGTGGTTGTATCCGCGGCCAGCCAGCCAGGGAAGGTTACCGAGAGAGGTAAAGGAGATGGACGCTTCCGCAAGACCCTCCACCACCGTCTCCGCGTCAATTTGGAAGCATGGTCGGGGTAGTAGTGCGACCAACTGGTCAACCGGGGCTTTGAAAGTAACTGTACAGGTTTTGGTGTTGACCTGATCCCAACCTTGGAGCGGTTGGTTGCCCTTAGCGTCTTGCCGGGGTCCTGGGCAAGGGCCGTAGCCCAAGGGCATGCGCGAGAAGTTTCTTCCTGTCGTGATGACCATATCTGATGTCTTCCTAGTGTATCGGTGACAATGACGATTTCTTTTTCTTTGGCGAATGAAGTTGAGTTAGGAGATTGGTTGGCTTGGCGGGTGGGCAGAAGAAAACGTTCGTCTGACGGGCGGCCTGATCAATGATTAATGACGATGACATGTGACAACCGCGTCCGAGCCAGCGTTTAAAACGAGATCGATCCTCCAATTCCAGACTGCATTTGCAGAAAACGCAAACTCTTGGACCTCCTGTTATGAGCGGTGCAGGCAGCGGAGAAATATCACCGACAGCCATCCGCCGGAAGTCCGTGAGGGGAAATGGGGAAAGGGGGTTCCTCAGCCTCCGAGCCCAATGTCTCCCGATAGTCCGCAATATCTTCATTTTCGGTGTCGCAAATGTTTCGCAAATGTTAATTTGTGAGTAATGTACAGACAATGGAAGCAGTGAGTAAATGCCGCATTAATCGGCAGATGACATACGCCAGACGAAAGCATGATTAGAGACACTGAGCGATTGCCCGATGACCATTGGTGTAACAATGAACCTGTGCTATGAAAGATGTAAGTGATCCTCATGAAAAGCTCCCAATATCAAGTGTTAATTGGTTCTAAATTCTGGAACTCTTGGGAGAGATTTGCACCTGCTGACTGCAGAGTTGACGCCACAAGTATTCGGACACTCGTTCAATCATGTCTTTGGGTGTCCATTCCATAATTAAAGAAGAAATACACATTCTCGTCGACGTACCCCAGAAATTTGCGAGAAGGCCTGCGCTCACAGACAAATTATAGTCGGCCTGAAGAAAAAGTTAGAGTTCTTTACTGCCTTTGGACTTGGTGTTGAGTTCAGAGTAATGTATCTCCATGACACCACCCGGTAGTTTGAAACGCAGTGGCACGAATAACATCTCCCGCGAGTGCATCAATATCAGACGCAAAGCAACTGATGTGGCAAATCATTGACTTGTGCGCTGCCAAAAATGCGTCTTAGTGATCGGCAGATATGAGATTTCAATGACCAAGCCACTTTAAAATAACGTTATCAATCAGCCGTTTGTATCCCTCTGCTTTGGTGTCTTATTCGAAATATTCGATATCTATTCTATATCGTATAGAACGGATCATGAAATTTCTGAGGATATCAGCAGACAACAGACTCAGCTTGGTCATACTACGGTTGCAAAACTTGTCACATGGTTCACCCTGGGCAGTCAACTGAAGGGGCCAAGCTTGGCTGTGGTAGTTGCTAACGGAATGCCTTCCAGGTTGAAAGAGAACGTTAGCTGAGGGGTTTTGATCCGTTGTCATGACATCAAGACGTTCTGTTGAGTCAATCTTCGGTAATGCTCGGGCTTCTTCTCAAAGTGAGTCGCCCGACTTATCATCTGAGTCAACTGTCAAAAGGGCAAAGTAGGGCTTTGAAGACCTGCGAAAAAGCAACAATGATGATACAGCAGAAGGAGAGCCACTCTCATAGAACTAGAAAAACCACGTTGATCACTTCATCACATGGAGTACCCACCCGTGCGATGGCGCAGACTTAGATGTCCCCTATCTAGTCTTTGACACAGCGTTTGAGCAACATGTGTATGGGTTAGACCAGAAACGTAATGTTGTAGGTTTTATGAAAAATTGATAACGACAGCATTTCCAACGTCGATCAAAGTATGGTCGAATGTGAAAAATCCAATTCGGTGCCAGGGGATGAAGGTCTAAATCAGTGTATCCGTGATAGTAATGTTACACATGTTTTCATGCACCAAGAGGGGCATAGCATCCTCTCGCCGATGCAACTTACTACGTATGTCCCTGTCTCTTTCTGCCACTCTATTGGAACCGATGCTCAAAGGCAACGGTCCTACTATAGGAAGTTAAACCGGGCCACAGTCCTCATATCGGCCCCTTTCGGCTGTATATGTATGCGCTGACAAGAGCTGCTGCAATCTCCGGATCAGCGGCCAGACGAGCTCGCTCCGCGACGACCTTACTGTGTAAGCTGCGGCTCTCTCCTTCTGCAACTCTGTTCGCGGGCTGTCTACTGTAATCCTATCCGGTCTCGCCGTTCCTCTGCAGTAAAGGAGTGCCTGGTCTATCATGTAGCAGATGAAGCAGTGAATATCGGACAGCAGGTGTGTCTCCCAAGGTCTGAAGAGGCTAAAGAAGTCATGCAGAACGTTGGGCCCTTCTGGTTGGGGCTCGCCGCCTTTAGTGATGCGGGTAAGAACCTGATGCCGTAGTAGAGCTTGTGCAAAACGCAAACGTTCTGTAAGGGTTAGTGGATTGGCGGCGTCCGGATGTATACTCTCGAGCTCCGGGAGCCTTAATGCGGCGAATTCGTCAGTGAGAAGCTGCACGCTGTGATTCACGTGGAGCAGTGCTATAACTACATTGATGGTTACTCACGCAAAAGACTTGTCGTCTCAGGTTAGTGACTTGTATCGCTGAATAATCCTCGTTCTTTCTCCCCCATCTACTTGGTGTTCGATTTTGGCTGGGACTAGAGTGGCCACAGCGAGGGCATCCCGCAGGGCCGGGCCGAGATCCTAGACTAGAATGTTGAGGAAGACTGTTCGCTTGGCTGAAATGAACGCTCTCTAAATCGTGAGTGAGGCCCTGGCGAAAGCATAGAGATCTAACTTCTGAGTGTGAGGCGGATAAAATTGCCTCGATCAGCTCGGTCGGTAGTGACTTAAGCCTACAGGGGAGATGCTTAGACACTGACTGATTCATCGCTTGAATAGTGTTACGACCTATTATGTATGGATAACAGTTGACCGACCTACTTAGGCGTTAAGCGGCTAGGATAGGATATTTATACTCTATAGGATCATAGGAATAATAGTGTTACGGTCAGCTATCCGACAGTAGGGTCTGCTAACAGAAGCTGGGGATTGACACGTAGTAACAGTACACTGGGGTCGTGGTCTGGGTCGTAGGTCGTAGGCTTGTAGTAGATCAAGTCTTCAGAGGCTAAGGTGATCAG